AATCCATTGGATGAACTGTGTAAAATTCATGATATAGCCTATGCTGAGAATAAGGATTCATCAAAACGGTACGAAGCTGACAAAGAATTAGCACAAGGCGCATTGAAAAGAGTATTTTCGAAAGACGCTAGTATTGGTGAGCGTGCAGCAGCATTAACAGTTAGTTCGGCTATGAAAGCAAAAACCGGTCTATCGAAAATCGGTATGGGTATATCAAATTCGATAAAGCGAAAAAAGACGAAAAAGTCTAAAAAGGGTAAATGTTCGAAGAAAATTTCATTTACCACATTGGTTGCGGATGCGCGACAAGGAATAAAGAAATCAAAGGCTAAAACTATTGGTGCAGCCATAAAAGCGGCTATTCGATCAGCAAAGAAATCGAAAGGAGGAAGACATGTAAAAGTACCTAGAATTATAAAAGTACCTAAAATTACCGGCGGTGTTCTACCGCTTTTACCCATCTTAGCTAGTTTGAGCACATTAGGTTCTCTTGTGGGTGGGATTGCAGCTGTTCATAGAACAGCTAAGGAAATAAAGAACACTAAAGCATATTTAGAAGAGAATAAGCGGCACAACCAAGCCGTTGAACAGAAATTGGGTAGCGGTCTTTACCTTAAGACGATGAAAAATGGACGAGGACTATATTTGAAACCATACCGAAACACCTCTGGTGAAGGATTATATTTGAAATCATTTAGAGGATCAAAAAACTATCGCTGAAACTTCCGACAGATAGACCACTCACGAACTATGATCTGAGTCAATACGTGAATATGTTGAGAATCCCGCATTTTCGAGGTATTTACATGCGCGACACATTACCCAAGAAACCTCAAGACGTAGAATGTTGGATTCTCAACCATGCACCAGCGGCATCTGACGGAAGTCATTGGACTTGTTTAGCTAAAATAGGTAATAGGGCGTGGTATTTTGATAGCTTTGGCGCGTTACCCCCACCACTTGAAGTAGTTAACTATTTAGGTAAAAATGTGAAAATATTGTACAATTATCATCAGTATCAGAGCTATGGGTCATATATATGTGGACAACTGTGTATAGAGTTTTTGTTCAACTTTTGGGCTGGACGAATTAGTTAGGTGAGATAAAAAGTATAAATTTCTACAGCATTTGTTGAATGAATCCAGTATCAATTAAACCACCATGTCGTCGATTACAGTGTCTTTTACCGGTAATACTTCAGTATTAACTTCATCGTTTTTTCCTGAGATTGTTCTTGATGAAAAATACAACTATTCATGTGGTCTCTTAGCCCTTTCAACGTACCAGTCGATACCGAATGTTACAACGCGAAATAACAGAATTTATCTTGATACATATAATACAGCACCTTATTTCGAAATTCCTGTTGGCACTTATGAGGCTATAGGTATCCTTGAAGCCATAACGAAAACGATGAAACATGCTGGACATGAATTCAGTTATGTTCTCGATAAAAACACATTAAAGACGCATATATTGTGCTCAAAAAAACTTTCGGCGGTGCAGGAAGATTCAATTTTTAGAATATTCGGATTCAATTCTGAGATCAAGGCAAATGTGAAAGCTGCATCAGTGGATGTGGTTAAAATTACCAAATTGAATGTAATAAGAGTTGAGTGTAACATTGTGTCAGGAGCTTATGTAAATGGTAAACCGTGTCATTCAATTTATGAATTTGCCGCTAATAAAGTTGACGTTGGATACAAAATTATTGAACAACCAAACAACATCATCTATTTACCGGTCGTACCACGACGGATAAGTTGCATTCAGTTAGCAATTGTTGATCAAGACGGACGTTCAATTGATTTTCGGGGTGAAGAAATTTCCTGTCGTATTCATATAAAAAGAGACGACAAGTAGATAAAAGGCTTGCAACATGATTATTTTCAATAAAAGTTCGGATGACTTCGCTACATTTACTTCTAATAACGACTCATCCAATAGAAGCGTCACCATTCATTCGAGAGCAGTCGAGCGAGCAACATCGCGACGAAAGTCATCCAAGTGTTCGAAGAGGAAGAAAAAATTGACTAAGAAAAACTTCACTTTTTTAAAATCCTTGGGGTTAAAAGTTAAAAAACATTGAAATCTTTAAAAAAAAAAATGAGTGAAATTTTGAGTGTTGGAGGTGCACCCTTCAGGGATAATACTATAACCAAGAAGCAGTATTTGACTTATTCACCGTATACATCATCCTATGGGCACAATGATGAAGTTCGAATTGTCATCCAATCGCAGGATCAATATGTTTTACCATCAGACAGCTATATTCTTGTGGATGTTAATGTGACTCGCAAAGCGGGGACTGCTCATACTAATGCAGCTGGGACGTGGACATCATTCCCAGCACACCGTCTATTTAGCGAAATACGATATGAGATGAATAATACGGAAATCGATCGTATAAAATTA